GTGGCCGCGCCGAGGGCGCGCGCGAGGGGCAGGAGCAGGAGCAGCCGGAGGCGGAGGGACGTCCACTCGGAACATGAGGCAGCAGCATGTCTGAGAAAATGTCCAGTTTCCTCTACATAGGGGACATCGTGTCCCTGTACGCGGAGGGCTCGGTCAACGGCTTCATCAGCACCCTGGGGTAAGCACGGCGCCCCGTCCCCGCGCGCCCCGGGCCAGGTGGGGCCGGGCAGGGCCCCCGCTCGCAGGAAGCCGCGGGGAGGCAGGACTTTCTCGGCAACTTTGTAATCTCAAGCTCCGAGACACTTCAGAAAAGGAGGAAGTGATTCAAAAGCCCGGAGCCAGGCCCGGCGAAGACGTCTTCGCTGGCTTCTCCGGGGCTTGGTTTGATTACAGTGTGTGCTTGTTTTCCCTTCAAGGGAAATCAAAACCCTTCCACTTCCCATCTTTTCTCACGGCTGCCCCGCGCTCGGCCCCTCGTCTGTCAGTGCCGGGTTTGGAAGAGCGGTGGGTAGAAGGCTGTGGCCTTGGCACGAAGCCCCGGCGATGTGGGAGCCCAAGTGTGGCTTTGTCCTTGCGGAGCAGCTCACCGGCTCCTCTTCCCTGAAGTAATTTCCTTTTGGCTTTGCCAGGGAGGACGCCCGCGCCTCTTGGGAGCGTCTGGCTGCCGGGATCTGGGACTCAGACCTGCCTTCTCCCTTCTCGGGCTTTGGCCCACTGAAACACAGAACTCCTGAACCTCGAGATTTGAGTTGCTTTATGAACTGGGGAACTCCATACGTGTATACATAGATAAAGGCAGTCTGCTAAATAAGTAGGACTTTTTTGATTACTAGTATTTTCCCTCTCTGCTGATTGTCCTCAGTTGAATTGCACCCTGCAATATATTTTGATGCATAGTTTTGTTGTCTTCCTTGTCATTGTTGTTGTTAGCTCGTGGTCCCAGGCTTTCATTTATTTTTATTTATTTATTTATTTATTTATTTATTAATTTTTTCGGTACTGGGAATCGAACTCACGACCTTGTGCTTGCTAGGCAGGCGCTGTGCCGCTGA